CCCCCCCCCCCCCCCAGGAAGAACACGAAGGCCTCCTTTAGTCTTTCCAGTCTTTCTTGACGTTCAGGTTCCACTCCCAGGACAGGTGGTCGTGCTGGTCGTCGTCGGTGAACTTGGATTTGATGACGTAGTTTCCGCGGGCCAGCAGGCCTTTGGGGGCCTCCTCCATCGTGGTGGAGTATTCGTGTTCAGTGGAGCGGGGGCCGTAGCTGCCCACCATGTAGTCAGACTTATCAACTGGAAACACACAAGAGTGGATGTTATGGCGCATTTCCACTGGAGGGCCTTGCACGGCTTAGTATGGTATAGTTAGGCCTTGGTAGGCCAGGTTGACTTTATGCTGCGTTTCATTACAGTTTAGGAACTGGGGTAGTAACTATAGTAATGCAGGGTAGGCGGAGCCGTGACGTAATCTTCAATGCGAAACACAAAACCAACATCAGCCGTTAGCCGTTAGCCCTCAGAGCTCACAGCTCCTCATATCTGTTCAGAAACTAGACAAAAGTACAAACCACAGACTCTGTGTCATGAGGACACAGACAGTCCACATGACAGTCGCTGATTTATTTATGTCTGGACGGTCGGAGCATACACTGCGTTAGCTTAGCCGATCTCCATTCAGAAAACACGCATTTTAAAAGGTTTCCGCCTGCCGTCTGTCTGCAGACTTGTCAAAGCATTAATTCATGGTTTTTACTAACCGGTATCAGTATGTTGTTACTTCAGCATCATTTTGAAACGTGTATTACAATTAAATCACAGTCAAATATGTTCATTTTGTTGTAGTTGCCAGCGATTCTCTCACTAGTTTAGCATACTCAGCCCGGTTGTTGGCCCGGAAAGAACCTCGATTTTGGAGAGCCAGAAAAACTGTGTAAAAGTACCCGCTAGCCGGAACTACACCTAGTGCAGTGGTTCTCAAAGTGGGAGGCGCCAGAACTTGCCAGAGCATGCCAGGGGGGGGGTGCGAGAGACCAGGAGGAAAAATGGCTATAAAAAAGATAAATTATTGATTCGAAAATAATATGATACAGTACTATTGCGTCTGGGTCTCTGTGTGTGTGTGGAATGAGCCATTTTGTGTGCGCGAGCGAGAGAGAGCGCACCGGTACCGGCGATCGTTGTTGTTAGCTTCTGGTGCTAGCGAGCTACGCTAACGGACATAAGGAGTTTTTTCAACAACAAAGTGGAGGAGAGTCCTCTCCTGTCAGATTGAGAGGCTCAGTGAGCTAAAGGACTCTCAGTGGGTCTCAAATGTTTTGGTCACCATTAATGTAAACAATTAATTCCGAGGCACATGTTTATATGATCATTATAGTTATAAAAAAATAAGGGAATAAATGAAAAACAGGTTTGAAATATTATGACAGTAAAAAAAGAATAAAGTTTAAAAGGGTGATTTCTAAAATATCCATAAAGAAAAAGTGAATCTGTTTACAGTTCTGTTTCATATGGGTGTTGAGAGATGCATAGATCTCTTCATGTTGCTCTCAAAGTGCACCAGATTGATGCTTTTAACTTCAATATTTAAAAATAAACCTTCCCGGGGGAGCTTGCCCCCGGACCCCCTATGTGAGGTCCACACACCACCTATAAAAACAGCACTTTACCCCTGCTTACTCCTATATGCCGTGAGCTGATTATCGAGCCTTCATTGTAACAGTCGCGGGTACGTTGTGTATTTGCGTGGGGATTGTTGCAGAGTAGAAAATTCCACTGTAGCGACCGGTACATTAATTGGAAACCCTAAATGTTTGAGCACCCTCTATAAAACGTCAAGCTACCCCACAGCACCCCCAAAAGAAATCTCTGGCGCCACCACTGAGCCTGACTATTTGTGTTGGGGGGGCCCGACTTTTCTTTTTCTCCAAAGGGGGGGCCTGACAGAAAAAGTTTGAGAACCACTGGCCTAGTGGAAACGCAACCAAAAACGGACCGGGCATGGCACGCTTAAACCGCGCTGTAGTGGAAATGCGCCATTAGTGTCAGAGAGGGAAATACATAGATCTATGTGGATCTGACAGTGAGTACGGACCGGGATATAAGAGACTCTATATCTACGATTCATGTGTATTTAACATGAAGGATATAACCATGCTGCTGTTGCTGCTTGAGCATTAATTACTGACACGATTGACAGCTGCGTGATTAATTCATAAAGAAAGGAAGATATTAATAAACATTGTGGGAGTTTGGTAAGATAAATTAAGAGAAGAATAATTGGTTAGAAAATCAAAGTTTGGGAAGCAGGGTATCTGAACCCCATGAGATCAGATAGTGTCAATCACTTGACTCGAATACTGTTTAACTGAATTACACTCAAAGTAAACTATACATACGTACCAATATCTTTAAGTTACCCACACTGAAAAAACTGAAACGTTGACTTTAATTAAGATAACAGATTTCAAATAACTGTATTAGGTGAAAGCAATAATATTAAGTTAAAGTAAAAAATAGGTTGAACATAATTATTATACCTAATACAGTTATGTAAAATCTGTTGACATAATACACTTAAAGTCAACGTTTCAGTTGTTTCTGTGTAGAAGGCATATTGGGATTGACATGAGAGAAATTGGTGTTTTTGAACCGACAGTCATCAGAAATTCTTCACTCACTCTTAATTCCTTTCCTGTACGTCTGCTGCACGTACTTCAGACCCGAAACTATCTCCTTGTTCACCTGAGGAGAGACACACATTGTTACAGGGTCATATCGAGGGTTAGAATATAAAAAAAATACTTGCAGCAAGGTATGTTTGAATCAGAAAGATAAAAGGTCAAAGTATGGGGAAATGCAGGGACATCTCTAACCTTTTAGATATATTTCTGTTTTCAAAGTGTGCAGTTGTTTACGTCCAACCCTTCTGTTGTGTTCGTTTCCCCCCCCCCTTAGTTTGGTGATTCCGGTCAAATGTGACTGGTCTGTTTTTACTGCTTACTCACTCATTTTCTATGAAAGTCATCTTTGACCGGGAACATCAAAGGTGTCTACTAAACCACTCAAAATTCAATGAAAGTGATCAGCAATGTTATGTATTCAAATGTTGACCGCGGAGGATATCATAAGGCCTTGAGGCAATCAAATGTTAAACACAGTATTTATGGTTGCTGAAAGTAGTCAAACGGTTTGACCCGAGCACCACAGCAGGATTCATTAGCCAGCATTTGGCTGAAAAGTGGACTGTTTCACCATTATTTTTTCTTCACTGACAAAGAATCCCTTTCATAGGGAGATACCCTATGAGCATATTTCCTGCATCTAGCACAGCTCTCACCTTAAAGCTGATCTTTATTTTGTATTCAACGCCCTCCTTCAGAACAAAGCACTGCTTCTTGAAGGCTTCCAGGTCTCCTGTTACAAACAAGGGAAAAAGCACAGGCATCAATAGGTTTCTTCATGTTAAAATATGCCAAAAAATGTGCTACAACTTGGCCCTGTTAAGCTACACATATTTATATGTTTTCCAATATGGCAATTAGCAGTTCTGGTTCACACTGTAACCATTGGTGCACAGAAAACAAAAACTGCGTTACATTGATTGAATCTTCTGTAGTTATAGAGTGGTGCAGTGATTTTCCATTGAGTTTTGCAAATTGCAGAAAATAAAATGGTTGATAACACGTTTATGATACTTACACATTTTGTTCAGCAGGAGAATCTCCACATACTAACACCATGAAGTAATAATGCAATTGGCAGAAGTAAAAAGCTAACATTAGGGTATTACAAACTACATCAAAGTCACATCTTCACGTCACCACCGCTAAGCTAAAGGCAGCTAATGTTCCGCATGATGATATTGAGTACTCTCATTCAGTCACTTGTTAGCAACCTCTGCTTCAGAAATGTCCTCAGTGGGGTAATTACTGACTTATTTGATCCCCTAAGCTTATTTCTGGCGTAACGGATACAGAAGTGGTATTTTGCTCGTTAATTTCCCGACTGATTCCTGCACCACTCTTAGGGGAGTGTCATCTTTTATATGATTTCCAAGCATATTATGCACATTCATTTGTGATGTAGCTACATAGATAATGATGGACATCCATAATGACATCCCAAGAGACAGTAAGTAGGAAGTGACTCCTGTCCTGGTGGTTCAAAAAGTTAGTAGTTTGAGAAGAAAAAGGGGTTTCTGATGCAAGAGTATTAAAGTATGTTAAGTGCCTCCATGTGCTGCTGAAGCTGCTGACCGTAGTGATAGGTGGGCCAAATCAAGGCCATAAGAAGCCCCCTTTTACTGGTAGCGATCCGACTCACTGAGTCTGTATGACTCATCCTAGACAGCATCCAGAAAATGTATTCTCACGTAGAGCTTGTTCACTTTTTGTTGACAGTGTCTAAGTAGTATCTTTCCTCCAATCTATTTAAAAGGGCAGTGAACAGAACATATGTATGTTCTCTATGTTAAACCTATACACTATAGAAATATACTACAACCATCCACTGAACATTTTAAATTATAACTTAAACAAAACTAAGAAGAAACCAAAAACAATCTGCAGTCATCAAAGAGGATATATTCTGCTCATTTTCAGGTTCACATTTGTATTTTGTGTCTCTACTGTTGTTCTTTACTGCAATTGGACCAGTCTGTTTGTTTCAGCTCATATGAGATGGTCATGTTTGTGTCTCTCCGCAGCTCAATGATGACTGAGAGGAGCAGCGGTGTGTTGGACGGCTCTGTAGAAAGCCCTCGTTGCTTCATTTCAATACGTTTGATGCAAGTTTATACTTGCGATAAAATGAATCGAACCACAAACAGCTATCTGTCCAGTAATAAATGTCGTTATTTATTTGAAAACAGCTTTGACATCGCTTATTTGTAAAGTAAACTATTTATGGACCAAAGTAAAAAAAAAAAAGGTGAAGTGAAAAGCCTTTTAGCAAAGCATTGTGGTTTCATTTTGTTATGTTTCCTGTTGGATATTCTTTCTAACTGTGTATTTAACATTCTATTATGGTAGAAATATTATTGTCTTATACCTTACCAAGAGTTTATCTTGATATGGAATACTTCATTTTGGACATGGAAATGGTCCGATTTAAATAGCTGAAAATCAGCATTACTTTGACGTAGGCTAACCCATAATCAACAAATGCTGAATTCTTTGAATTCTAATGATATGATTGGCATTAAACATTTCTAGCTGAGAAGCTGGGAGGATCCGGAGTGATGCAGGGAAAGGTAGGACAGAATGTTCCGGACGGATTGTAATCTAGGTCAGCTGGGGCACGTCTGAACTGCTGAGCCACTGGGAATATCGAAAAGTACATTTCTACAGTCATCAGCCAAACAGAAAAAAGAAGATCCAATCTATGTACCTCGTCTACCTCTGTCAGAGAATCCATATTCATCTACAGCATGCACAGATTCAAACCTCACGGATCTGGAAGTACAGCAATGTCGGGGGGAAATCAAAATAGGCAGAATCACTACAGGGGTCAATGTGTTGTCAAGAAAAGAGAGGATGTGGATGTTTGCCAAAATCAGTTTCAAGTATGAATTATTATTGGGTCAACAAGAGATGCTTAATTTGTAATAAAGATGATCTACGGTGGCCCTGAAGTGCAAGTCAAAACAACATTTCACAAAACACTACCGCATTTCAGAAAACACTAAAACATTTCAGAAAACACTACAGCATTTCAGAAAACACAACCGCATTTCACAAAACACTAAAACACTACAGCATTTCAGAAAACCCAACCGCATTTCACAAAACACTAAAACACTACAGCATTTCAGAAAACACAACCGCATTTCACAAAACACTAAAACACTACAGCATTTCAGAAAACACAACCGCATTTCACAAAACACTAAAACACTACAGCATTTCAGAAAACGCTACAGCATTTCAGAAAACGCTACAGCATTTCACAAAACGCTACAGCATTTCACAAAAGGCTACAGCATTTCCCCAAACGCTTCAGCATTTCACAAAACGCTACAGCATTTCACAAAACACAGGGTATTCCTTTAGGGAGAACACTTCTTGTTTGTGATTGGACAGAGCCAGCCAGAGAAGCACTGCTGTGATTGGTTGTTTTTGCTGCCACTCAAGAAATGACACTTCATGATTGGTCAGTACCCGACAGCGCAACATGTCCCAAAACATCAGCCGTTAGCTGTTAGCACACAGAGCTCACAGCTCCTCATATCTGTTCAGAAACTGAACAAAAGTTAAACATGAACAAACCAAAGACTGTCTGTGTCATGGCGAATACAGTCGCTGGTTTATTTATGTCTGTATGACGTTGTTGTGAGTGTGGACGGAGCAGCTACAGGTTAGTTTAGCCTGATCGATCCGATTCCGATTTACATGGAGATACGCCCCGCCCCCTCTCCAGCGCGTCTTGTTTGAATGACAGGAGTAAACACAGCTGACAGCCGCAGTGAAACTCGAGCGATTAGAGCGATGCGAATATTCGGGGCTTATTTCCATGTAAATACTATGGTAGACTACAACAAAATGAACATATTTTACCGTGAATTAATTGTAATACACGTTTCACAATTATGCTGAAGTAACAACATACTGAAATGCTGTAGTGTTTTGTGAAATGCTGTAGCGTTTTGTGAAATGCTGTAGTGTTTTTTGAAATATTGTTGCGTTTTATGAAATGCTGTAGTGTTTTTTGAAATGTCGTGTTTTATGAAATGCTGTAGTGTTTTGTGAAATGTTGTTTTGACTTGCACTTCAGGGCCACCGTAATGATCTGACCCATGTGTTTAATAAGTTCCCTCCTGTTTCCAGGTATAGATTTTTAGAGTTGAGGTTGTATGATGTCCACAGTCAGTGTATTACGTACAGTAATGGCATATTGGAGAAACTGAAAGGAGTTCTGCCGCTAAAGCTAAGCTAACCACTACTATGGATGGAGGCAATGTTAAAAATAAATAATTGTATTAGTAATATATTCACTGTTTCAACATGTCGGATAGCCCTTTTCGACAAAGAACTGAAGCCACTGTCTATGCTCTCTTCAAAGCCACCAGACTCCATTGACCAAAACAGAACTTTTATTATTGAGTGGTGCCTTCAAAGGAGAGTTTATGCTCATTTTCATATTAGTATTTAGTGTCTCTACTTTGACATGTTTCCATCCTTTAATGTTCAAAAAGCTCTTTATTTTTTTCATGCTGCAGCACCTTTTTCCACCCTCTGTCTGAAACCTGAGCACAGTCTGCTCTGATTGGCTAGCTGGCCGGCTCTGTCGCGGTCAACCGCTTAGAGATGTCCCCAACCTTAGCCTACCACGTACAAGATCTTACCTATCCAAACATTTAATTCAACAGGTAATTTATATATTTTTCCCATTAAATACGAATAAACTAAAGCAGCCTGGAGAGGGACTCACCCTGCAGGTCCAGGATCAGCGGGTCCGGGGCGGTTTCACACAGCAGAGACATCTGGGTCACTTGGACATTGGGAGTAGTGGGATCTGAAATTGAATTAAAAACAGGCTAATGGTTCCAGATGGGACATTTTAGACAACGTACACAGTTGCAGCTTGGATTTAAACACCTTTGACTGTGTAGGGAATTAACAGAGAAAATGTAAACAGACTTGGACAGTTACAGAAAACCTCGACCAGTGCTGCCTTCATTTTAACCCCCTTAGCAGTTCATTTTAGAGGAAGCAATATGATCATTTTTGAAATAATAAAATCATGTTTAAAGCAATATGTTGTGTCAATTTATTGATTCATTTGGTGAGTAACTGTGTAATGAGCACAAAAGAACAAAATAAGTCATTATAGCAAAAGAACCCCTTCAGGGCGATCAGGACCCCGACCTTTAATAAAAGATATTTTTATTTAAACACTTTTCTGTACAAAACTTAGCCGAAGGTCACGGTGTGAGTGCAGCGGGCTCAGGGGAAGAGAAATTAGGACAGCTGTGCTGTAGTTGGAACAGCCTCTGCATTAAATACACTTTAGTTTATTCTCAGTCCCTTTTCTCTTCACTCATTTAGGGCCGAACCATTGATCATTTTATATCAAAGTAGTAGGCCTGTCCCGAATACTATTTTTCGGGCTCCGGATATTCGGTAGTAATCAGCAGCGAATATTCGGATATTTGCGCGGGGGGGAACATTCATTTTTCAGAAGGTTCGGTTTGCATTCACAAAGGCAAAATTCAAACGGACTATACACTTTAAACACAAGTCATGTGCACGGAAATGCTGTTCAACAAGTGGTCAGACAATAAGGGGGATGAAAAGGTAAATCCTGGCCATTTCTACCGTAGCCTCCACCATGGAGCATCGGCAGGTTATTTGTCATGCTGCTGTTAATCTGGAGATCATATCAACAGACTTTAACAACGGCGCATATGATTATACAATCAGACAACATGCGATAACAAACATAACCCATATGAGAGACGTTCTGCAGTAAGGAGGGAAGTTTCACCGACGACAGGTGGCTCTGACTTTTATGTATATTTGACGGAGCATTTTTAATTTACAAGACACTGTTCAACACTTCATTCTGCTTCACTCTTTCGCTAAAGATTTTTGAAGACATCCGGGTTCTTGCAACTCGTAAATACTACGCTTCCTATGTTTTGGCGCGGACTGCGTTCACACCAGCGATGATCCGCTCCAGAGTTCACTAGCAAGCGCTCCGAGAACACCTCGTTTAAGCGGACCAGAGTCCGGTTGTTAAGTGCACTTCAGAGATCTTTGACTGTGTTCACAACGACCCAAATGAACAGCACCAAGCGGGTAAACACACCAGGGTTCGATTCAACCGGACTATACAAGGCTGGTTTGAATGCGACCTAAGTCTATAATCGAACTATAAAAAAGGAACTGGGGGACCAGGGGACACCTTAAGTCAAGTACGACTTCACAGGTCAGAGAGATGAGGTCGGGCGACAGGTCTAGGCCAGAAGAACGCAGTCGGGGTAAACATGTACGAACGCTGACCCTCTGTCCTTGTGGAGACTACCGTGCTACTACATTGACGTTCGGGACGTTCACTAAGGTAGTTGGATAACTTTGTGACTCAACCCCTCTATATCTCCTTTTTTAGGTCAAGGTTGTCACAACAAGACGTCATTTTAATTTAAATGATCTTGACATTTGGTGTGTACATTAATTATACACTTGCAGCAGTACGTTTAGTTGGTCCGTATGCACACTGTGAAATAACTTCAAGTAATTAGACAAAAGATAGTACAACCACACTCGTTTGTTATTGGAGAGTACACTCAGTTTGGTTAAACTAACTTATTAATTCTGCGCTACGAGCCGACGTCCAACTAAATGTAGACCACCGACTCAAAATGATAACCTATACGGCCTGCGTAAAAGGTAAATTTGCATGGTTTTTACATTTACAAGGATAGACAAATCAACCTTTACCCAAAATGAGAGGTCGGGTCTGGAAAGCATAGGAGACAAAGTCAAATACATAGAGAAAAAGGAAGAGAACCTCGACACATACCGGTGACCGTCAAGACTCACTTTCACTCATCTCCCTCTCCCACATCGTGACGTACAGAACTCCAGAAGGCCACAACATCCTAGTCCCACCTACCTACACTTCAACAAAAGGTGGGTGTAGCGGACCCCAAGAACTGGCAAGTCCTTCAAGTCACTAGGTCAGTGTCTCCCGCGAGCAAGACTCAGGCGCTCAGACGACTCGAACTTACCAGGTCAGAACCTCACACGTGTTACCATAACTTCCGACTGACATATTACGTTAACTTGTCGAAGAGTGTATCACACAAGGAGACCCAGGTCCACAACATCTCCACGTCACACCTACCACTCCCGACCGCCAGGTAGAACTGTGTATAATAGTCATCACAATATACACACCTGGTGTGCTCCACAAAACGTCCGTGATCCCTGTAGACCAGTCAGGTACAATAGACCATGAACGAGAATCGTTCCCAGTCCTCGACATTCACGACAAACGAAACCAAACAGAACAGTATCCGTTACACAACTAATAAAGAGAACTTGATCAACTATATGAACCCTGAGACCACTCTCTCGAGGTCTTCACCAATACTCTTTGTTTGCACTTATAGTATTGCGACATATAGTTCAACGTTAGCGACGGACACCAGGAACGTCTGTCTGGGACTTTGTACACAGTCTTTACAGTTGATTAAGGTGACGAAGGAGCACTGACACTAGGACAATAGACTAATCAAAGATTCGACGTAAAGTGTACACTCTATCGCCCATATTTGTCAGATGCGACACGGTAAGACAAACGGAAATATATAATCTCCATACTTTAACACCATTTCCCGGAAGACGATTACACGTTAATTAAGGATGAAACAACGACGGATTGAAGTTTCACCGTTGTGTTAGTCATACTTACAACTATCGATCTTCGCTTACTATCGTCTTACCTCACTTGGTATCTTCTTTTATCTATTATTCTCAGATTCTGGCCCGACTAAAAGTCCTGTCGTCAGACGTGGTGATTGAGTGCCTATTTTGTTTCTCGATTTATCATCATTCTATTTGTTTTAGGACTTAGTCGAAGTTCTTTTTCCTGAAATCTATACTCGATTTCGAGTTTTGCAGTAACAGCTCGCACTTATAAAGTTCTTGAAGTAAAGTTTATATTAGCGGAATGTGTAATATAATGTACACGGATAGTTCATCATATACCGTTTGTAACATATATCTTTGGTCTTCTTGTTAATTATTTTCTCTCCCTTTATTATCTGTGATGTGTTTCCACGGCAATGGCTCACACTGTCTAGCCTGTAAATTTAATGTTTGGTTGACCTCAATAACCGTATGAAGTTTAGGGTGTCTGCCGTATAGACAACTCGGTGCACTGAGACCTCTTCATATTCAACCTCTTCCTGTAAAAACGATATTGTAACCGAAAGATCCAAAGTATAATTCGTAATTGTGTGCGAGATTGGAAAGAACAATCAAAGAGGTGTCCTTTTGATCGTGTCTTGAGTCGAGTCACCCTTTCCCAAGTTTCATTGGTTATCTAAATTATATTCTCGTTCAGTTTGTTTAATGAACTCGGAAGAGGTCAATGGGTACGCATGTACGTGAGCGTCTCTCACGTTTCTCGCAGAAAGTTGACCAACAACGAGCCAACTCGAGATGGTCCCTCGACCAAGCATCCGAAGTCATCGGAGGGGCTATAAAACTGTCGGAGTTTGTGTCACTCCGGTGTCACCATTCCAGGACGAGTTCTCTATTGTTTCACACTGTCCTAATAACCATGTAGATACAGCTCTTCCTTTCCGATAAACTCAAAGTTTCTTCTAATATGGAGGTGAGGTCGAAGCAATGACGCTATACAGTGTAAAATTACATCTCGACGGAACAGGTAAACAGAGGCTGGTACAACTAACGAGTCCAGGTTGTGAAAGTCCGAAGGGCTCAAGAACGACGGTCTCGGCTCCGGTCCGTTCGACGCGTCGGGAAAGAGGGAAGTTACACGTGAGCACTATTCAGATACCTTGTGTTTAATGTATAACTTTGTACTTTACACGTCGTTGTTTTTCGGTTATATAATATTACTTGTTTACCATAAAACTCTAGGTCAAAAGGATAACATATGGTGTAACTTCCGAAATGAAACTAACCAACGTTTTTATATATAATAAAAATCCCGAACATGGCTTATAGGCTTATAAGACGCAACCGGATGTAAGGCCAAAAAGTTAAACCAAAAGAAAAGNTGTACCTTACTTTGACCATCTGTTCGCTGTTATTGATCATTGTGGAGAGCAGGCAGACGTTTTGTTTTCTATTATAGCAGCTATCGGATGGAATCCATTAGGGCTGAACAATATACCGTGTCATGGCGATAACCGGACGGGGGATGTGCGATTTTTTTTAATTTTTTTTTTAGAGCGATATTAAGTCGGTAAATTAACTCAAACACGTCATGTTACAATTATTTTGCTGCTTGCTACAAAAGGAAAACTTGCGCGGCTCTCATGTCAGGGGTACTTGAGTGGAGTGACATGCAGGCTCTGAGTCTGGATGCACAGCAAACAACTATTTCAGATGCCTTTGCCGGTGTTACACCATATGAGAAAGGTTCAAAACGGCATAAAGGAGCTGGTGTATAGCTGTTCTTAATTTTATTTTTATAATGTTGTTTAAAAGATGTCCAATACTTTGCTGCTATTTGCACAAAAAAGGTTTTAATTGTGGAATAAAAAGTCAAATTACCTATTTGGTCACGTATGTTAATTCCCTAATGTGATAATGAAGCTTCCTATAGTTTAATGTAATACGTTTAATCTCTTGGATCCCTTCTAGACACCACTCTTCTTCATTCACAGATGAACCCCCTTATTTGAGGGTAAGCAACCTGCATTATCATGACATGTTAGATCATGACTTAAGCTATGATGAGTCAACCAGTTAAGATCCAGACGTCCGTGACTAAAATCCTTCATCCGGTTAAATATAGTTAAAAAAAACGCAATA